AGAGAGAGAGAGAGAGAGAGAATAAAAGCGTAAAAGAGAAAGTGAGTGAGTGAGAGAGTGAGTGAGAGAGTGAGTGAGAGAGAGAGAGTGAGTGAGTGAGTGAGAGAGAGTGAGAGAGAGAGTGAGTGAGAGGGAGAGAGTGAGTGAGAGTGAGAATGAGTGAGAGAGAGAGAGAGTGTGAGTGAGAGGGAGAGGGAGTGAGAGAGTGAGGGAGAAAGAGTGAGTGAGTGAGAGAGAGAGTGAGTGAGAGAGTGAATAAAAGCGTAAATGAGAGAGAGAGTGAGTGAGAGAAAGAGAGAGTGAGACAGAGTGTGACTGGTCGCTACTTCAAAATTACAAAGTTCTATCTGATATTTTTGTCCGTTTTGAGTTACTAATACGGGGTGCCCACTAAGGATGGGATCGGTCAATCGGGCCGATCGTCCGACTCGGTCGTCTCAAAAACAAACGTGTTTGTTTTCAGTTTCAGTCGACCGAGTCGGGCGATCGGTCCGATCCAGCCGTAGTGGGCACCCCGTTTAATGACCATGGGCTCAGATACTAAAATTTAATGCTCTATTTGCACTATCAAAATCGCGTAGGAATATAAGCAGTCATTATCAAGATATTCAAAGAACTGCACTCGAAAAAGCTTCTTAGATCTACCAACTGAAAAAGTTTAACGTGTCCCGCGCGCTCATCTTATGCAGTTGTAAAACACTTATCAAAAAGAAAAAGAAAAAAAGCTCGACGTGATGTGCAATTAAAAACCTTTTAATGGCAAGTTTCTCAAATTTATTTAGGTACTGAGCAGATGGAACTTTGTAATTGGTCGTTTTAAGCACAAGGGGACTATCCCGAAAAATGCTGTTTTGAGAAAATCGAAGGTAAAGTTTTTGCCCCTTGTTCAGTTTCTTTAAAAGACAAGGAGAGTTTTCTCTATAACCAAACAAATATACACACCGATGAAACCAAACTTCTCCTATAGGTAGGGCAATGCTCACTCTTGGTGTAAGTCGGGATTTCTGGAAACCCTCGACGTTAGGGTTAGCCCGCTTGTCCTTAAAAGCGACCAATTGCACTCCAAAAAGCTAGACGTGATGAGAAACTAAAAACCTTTAGACGTCAAGTGTCTCAAATCTAGGTACTGAGCACATAGAATTTTGTTTTAGTAGACGTTTTATGGCGCTCGCAACTGAATACGGTCCTATGAGCACAAGAAGATTAGAGGTGTTACAAGAGAGTAACAAACATAACAAAAAGGAGGGGAGATAAGAACGATAGATTAGAGGTGTTACAAGAAAGTAACAAACACAAATGAATGAGAGATCAGGGCGATAGATGTTTGATAGGAAAGAAGGAGCAAACCACACTAAAGTAAAGCACCCGCCAACCACCCACAGACAGAACTTTGTAAATTTCGGAGGTAGAACAAGTCGCTCCGTGTCCGGACCACCAGCCACACGAGACCGGTGACGTCACGAAGAGACATGGCGGACAAGACAGCGACGACGAGACAACACTTCCGGACGTGCAGCCAATGAGCTGGGAGCATATTTATTGAGCATGCGCGCACGGCGATCGTGTGTGTGTGTGTGTGTGTGTGTGTGTGTGTGTGTGTGTGTGTGTGTGTGTGTGTGTG